GTGCTTCCCTTGGGAAAGCAAATATGGTTAGCACAATAAAGTATTCAGAACATAATTCTGCTTGCCACAACTGCTGGACAGGACAGGTTAAAAAAAATAAACTACAATGCGAGGCAGGGCCTTCAGCTTGCAGGCCTCTCTGTGGAACCAGCTCTGAGTCTGGATTTGGGGGACAGACCCCCACTCTACTTTTTTGATTAGGCTTAAAATTTTCCTTTTTGACAAAGCACACAAAGCAAATCGTTACAGAGGGATTAACACTGTATTAGGTCAAGGCTGCTAGGGGCTTCCCATGATGCATGAAGAGGAGTGTTTCTTCTTCACTCACTATGTGTTTATACACCACTCTGCATTTAATCATTGGTTATTATTAATCTCTGGCTCTCCTCTACAGTATGTCTTTGTTCTGTTTTCCTCCCCTCACACCTAACTAACTGGTCAGGGCAGATGGTCGCCCCTCCCTGAGTCTTCTTCCTGGGGGGTCATATGATTGTTGAGATTTTCTCTGTTTTGTCTATATTATTGTAGAATCTTTACCTTACAATAAAAAGTGCCTTGAGGCAATTGTTGTTGTGGTTTTACGCTACATAAATGAACTCAATATATAAATAATTTTAATGACAGTGACATTGCTGACAAATCTGTAGAAACTATATACTGACTGCAAAATGATTTTTTGTAATCCACTACACCAAGTTCTGAAACTGTTTGAGAATAGAGGTGATGTTATTTTCAGTATAAATAAATAGTACATTCAAAATCAACCCAAGCCCCAAAAAGATATGAGCCCCCCAGAACAAAGCACAACAATATTTTTTAATGGGTTTTTTTTTTGTATGTCTTGTATATGAAACGAAGTATCAAATAAAAACATTTCACTGAAGACGTGTTGAAGCTTTGACATATTGTTGAACATCCCATAATTTAAACCTGCAAAATAATGTTAGGCCAAACAAGGACATAGAGTCTTTCCCAGAGTTATTTCAAGGAGACTTGCAAATTACATATTTGTTGAATAAAAATCTATTCTACTCAACCAATGTGGAAGTTAAATGGGAGACGCAGATTCATTTGATTGATATTCCCGATCTTTTTTTACTCTTTTTACTCAGACATTCTAATGTAGAACACTAACTGTAACTGATACAATATTTCTATAGTATTATGTCTATACCCTGTGGAACAGGAGCAGGTGGCGGTGGAGAGGAATCACCAGTGGGTAATGGCAGGCTGGAGGTGCTTTCCCTCTCTGTAACAAATGCAAGTTTTCAACAGTGAATGTACACAGAGACTATGGGTGAAGCTAACTGTGACAACCACTGTAATAGTTTATCAAATGCATTGGAGAATCAAACAGATACATGCTTGTTTTTAAAAAGTGCTTTGTTTCTCATGTCAGGCAGAGAAAGACAATATGAAAGTGGATTAAAGATAGGCTTACATCCCTTGTTGCTTCCACACAGTGGGCAGGCAGAGCAAGAGATGATGGGCAGCTACTCAACTCTGTCATTGGATGAGAGAGAGGAATGTCAGTGTTTATGATGTGTGTGCACTGTTGCAGGCATTTGGCTGTTTGTGTGCACTGTTTGCCATCCACATTTGTAGTAACACAAAGAAGAGAGAGAACCGATTAAAAAACAGTACATATATGAGATGAACAGAAAGAAAAACAATGTGTGTAAATAGAGGAAGAAAGCAGGTGGGTGAAAGTTGTGAAGTCAAATTGGCTACTCACTTTTTAATAGTCCCAAATGAAGCAAGGCACATGCTTTATGTGTACATGCTTTTGCACCACATTTATCCATCAGTCCAGCAGTATCACTGATCTTTAAAAACCTCATGACACTGTATTAACATCCAATTTTCTGCATACGAGCGGTATCTTTAGAATGGCTTTTTATCACCATGTTCTGACTGAGGCCTCCAATTTAAACAGACATGACCGGGATTGTACAGCACTTTGTTTATTCATAGTGGATCAGTGTCGTCTGGAACTCATTCAACCCCACATATATTTTTCAGGACAATACAGTGAGTTATACAGTATCTCACAAAAGTAAGTATATTTTTGTAAATATTTTGTTATGTCTTTTCATGGGACAACATTGAAGATTTGGCACTTTGATACAATGTAAAGTAGTCAGTGTGCAGATTCTATAACAGTGTAAATTTGCTGTCCCCCTAAATAACTCAGCACACCATTAATGTCTAAACCGCTGGCAACAAAAATGAGTACACCCATAAGTGAAAATGTCCAAATTGTGCCCAATTAGCCATTTTTCCTTCCAGGTGTCATGTGACTCGTTAGTTTTACAAAGTCTCAGGTTTGAATAACCTGGTAATGGTGTTGTGGTTCTTTTTTGGGGTTTTTTTTGTTTTGTTTTGTTTTGTTTTGTTTTGGTTGTTTGTTTTTCCATAATTTGTGCATCTGCAAATATAAACCTTCTGTTTTTTTTCATATGAAAGAAACTATACC